ACTTTTTGAAGCTCTTTGCTTGAAGGTCATGAACTCGTTCAAACTTCATGCGAGATGAATAAATTATCTCTTTGATTGACGTGGAATCCAGTTAATTGTTGGAGGATTCGATCGCTTATATACCGGTGCTTGTAAACTTTTGCTTTTATTTAATAGGTTGCGATACTAATAATGGGAGGTTCTTATATATAGTGCTTTTATACAACGTCTCAATGTGCTTTTCATTTATGACCAGTGGATGACTTCACGGGCTACATATTACATTCTTCATCCAAAGAAAATCTCTCTAATTTTCTTGCTAATAAATATTAAAATAATGTTTTCTTCTTAGGACGTAGTAACTATCCAATTTCGAGGCCATAAACTGGACAAGAAAGATTTTTTCGGCAAATCGGATCCATTCTTGGTGTTCTACAGATATAACGAGGATGGCAGGTTTGTGGACTTCTTCGTGCGTCTGTTTTTTATGTAGAGCACGGATGACGTCAAACTCCATAATTTTGTTGAAAATCCGCTTCTAAAAATAAGTCTTGTTGTTTCATTCCTTGATCTCAGTTGCCAAAAAAGTTTCTTTATTGTACCTCTGTTTTGAGGCATATATTTCATCATTTTGTGGTCAAGAAAAACAACATTTAAACACCGTTACTTGATGTCACAAACCACTTGTTTCATGCCTTGTTTTTATGATTATTTTATTAGCTTTACGGCAGTTCACAGAACAGAAGTCATCAAGAACACTCTGAACCCAACATGGAAAGAGTTAACCATCCCATCCAGGGCATTATGTAATGGCGATTACCATAGGTATGTTAGACTGACTCTGGACCTTATTAATTGTAGAAACACAATCACCTTTCGGCGTGTCGTACTGTGCACGTGCTGTAAGTCATAGGCTCCGATTTCCAGCCGTCGTGGTTTCGTGCGCCCGCGATACTCTCCCCCGTAGGGCGCACGAAATCCCGAAGGCTGTAAATCTAAGCTGCCTTTACGGTCGCCAATCAAGAGGAAAAACGCTAATAATTCCGTTCACATTTTAGAGCGATTAGAGTGGAGTGCTACGACTGGGATCGTGACGGAGGGTAAGTAATACTATAGAAGGAAAAGAGATAGGCATGGAGTCACGGCAATGCGTAGATATATTGCGGGAGTCATAAATGTCCTGTCGGAGTAAATTCTTGAGGCGCAACCACATGACTCTCAAGATATAGATAACAAGGAAGCAGCCGCCATGTTGGTTGATCTGGCAAGAAAAGCTAATGAGTAATGCTTTGTTATCGTCAACAACATGGCGGCTATAAAGTAATCAAGAATACTGACCGGACAAGTTAATCCAATCGCAAAATGATCTTTTAATCTATTCAGGGGATAGGAATTGAATGAGTCCTGCATACTAAAACAAACATTGACGTATAATATTTTTGTTTAATTAACAGTCATGATCTCATTGGAATATTTTCGACGACACTCAAAGAATTGACTTCAAATCCAAACTTGACTTTTGAGGTAAGGTTGTGTAGCGTGTTATCTTGTTAAAAAACGGCAACAAAACTAACAAGAACAACATCGACAACAACAATATATTAACAACAGCAACTCTAGAACAAAAACACAAGTACAGCAGTAACAACAACACTGAACAGCAACAACAACAGCA